AAATGCATGGACCAATTTTTCAGCATCACTTTGAGACAGGATGCTCCTGATTTTTGCAATACTGTGCAGGTGAAAGAAGGCAGATCTAGAGACTTGGTTTACTTGTGATTTAAAGGTCATATCCTGGTCAAAAATGACTCCCAAGGTTCCTCACAGCAGTACTGGAGGCCAGAGCTACAGTATGTTATCCAGAGTAACTATATGATTAGATAGCAGATTTCTAAGGTTTTCAGGCCCAAGAACAATAACTTGAGTTTTGTCAGAGTTTAGAAGTAAGAAGTTGCAGGTCATCCAGGCCTTTATGTTTTTAAGACATGCTTGAAATTTGACCAGCTGATCTGATTCATTTGGCTTCATAGATAAATATAAGTGAGTATCATCTGCATAACAATGGAAATTTATGCTGTGCTTCCTGATAATAATGCCTAAAGGGAGCATGTATAAAGTGAAGAGAATTTGACCTAACATAGAACCCAGTGGAACACCGTGACTAACTTCAGTCTGTACTTAAGATTCTTCATTAACATGAACAAATTGGAATCTTTCTGATAAGTAAGATTTGAACTAACTTAGTGTGGTTCCTTTAATCGCAATAACATGTTCAAGTCTCTGCAATAAGATGCTGTCATCACTGGTGTCAAAAGCAGCACTGAGATCTAAGAGGACAAGTATGAAGACAAGTCCTTTGTCTGAGGCTTGAAGGAGATAGTTGGTGACTTTCACCAATTCAGTTTTTGCACTATGATGGACCCTAAAACCTGACTAAAAATTCTCAAACACATCATTCTTGTGCAAGTGATAACATAACTGATAACCACAAGGATCTCTTGACCCCTCATTGTTGTGTTCTCCTAGGTCTGAGTTCCGATTTAATTCAGGTGGTCTCTGAGCTTGGTGAACAAGACATGTTGGAACCAGATTGGACAAGTGACAGTGTGCAAATTCTGCCCTGTGTTGTTACTTCCAGTCAGGGGACAGGATGGGTCAACAACATCAAAGAGGAACTTCAAAACCCTGCAACTCCTCAAAACTCACTAGATTCCCAGACCTTCTTCATCCAACCAGTCTCAGATCAGAATAGAGAGCTGAGCTTTGAGTTTGGCTATGAATCAACAAGTCAGTCTTCCTTTGACCCATATGGGTTTAAACTCAGTCCAGAACATTCTAGTCACATCTTTTTAGACCCCGATGAAGCTGAACTGAGCCCAGAACCCGCTAAAAATGATGTGACCTATGACCCTGAGCCCTCCTCTTCTCAGTCAGATCAACTGAGCTTTGATCCTTATGGGTTTGACATCTCTTCCTCCCAGATGGTACGGGACTTTGACCCTTATGGCTTTAAGCTCAGCCCTGAGGAAGAGAATCAGGAGGTACTGGACCTCTGTGGCCATGGTAACCAGAAGGAAATAGACGTTTGCATCTATGACAACAACAAGAAAGTAGAACTCTATAGCAAACAGGATGTTCTAGCAACTCATACCCATAGAGAACAAGAAGTGCTTGAACACAATAAGCAACAACTGCTGAATTTGTGTAACAATAGAAATCAAGAAGTGCTTGAAGCTTCGAGCTTTGATAACAGGGAGTTAGTCTGCAGTGAAAACCAAGAACTGCTGGATTGCTGTGGGGATGACCACCAGGAGGTGGTGGAACCCTACCACAATATCAGCAATGAGGAGCTATTTGAAACTTGTATCTATAGTAACAAAGAAGTGCTGAAACCTTTTAGCCACGGCAATCATGAATGGCTAGATTTTTCCTGTTCTGAAAATCAGGAAGTGCTGGAATTAAATAGCAGTGGCAACCAAGAACTGCTGGACTTGGGTCAGAAAGAAAATCAGGAAGTGATAATTTCAGGTAGACACATCAACCAGGATGTCCTACAGCTCAGTAGCAATGAAGGTCAGGCATTGCTAGATTCAAATAGCCATGGCAACCACGAGGTGCTGGTCTTGCTGAATAAAGAAGCAAAGAACAACCGTTGCATTGTTGAACCAGAGCTCAATATTAGTCCCACCAGTAACAGTTCAGACAGCGAAATGGCAGCAGAAGACCAGCTCATGCTGGATGTCAGTAACACCATCACTACTAATACCACAAATAGCAGTACTGCTGACACCCTCTGTAGCACCATCAGCAACATGTCTGCCCACCAGGACCTGGCTACAGTGAGTGCTTCCATCAGATACAACATGTTAGAAGGTGATCTGGGCTTGGTGTTTCGGGCTGGAGGATACATTGGTTGTCCAGATGTAGCAGATGACCTGGAGCCTGTGGACAGAAGACAGAATCCAGTAGCAGAACCAGTACCACCAGTTAGACCAATAAGGCCTCCTCGGCCTTCTCTCAGGGTAAGTTGGAAACCACACCCACTCTACTCACATACACCAATTGATTCTTAGCATTCTTAGCATGATTCTTAACAAGACCTGATGATGGATTGAGTTTGGCCACATCTAAAATATATTCATTTTGTTCCAGTATGGGCCCATTGTGTTTGGGTCTGTTCAGGTCAGCTGCATTTTGGATTAGGGATGCACCAATACCAAATTTTTCCAGACCTAGTACAAGTACAAGTCCTTACATTTGAGTATTTGCAGATACCAAGTACTGACACAAGTACTTAATAATGCAGTGTTTCTGCTATAAAAATTACAACAAACATAAAAGTGCAATGTATCAGAAATGTTGTCATGATTAAATAAAAATATACAGAAGGGCTGTATGGTAAGTTTGTGTGAGCATGATTTATATCCTGTGCAATCTCGGTGTAACACGATGTGTAAATTACGCTCTGAAAATAATGTATTGTGCAGCCCTAATATAAAGTTAGTAATACAGAAAATTGGCCCTGGCATTTTTATCCCAGATAGCCTATCACAATCTGTCAGACACCACCCATGCTGAGCATTAAGTGCTGTAGACAAGTGTACCAGTGACAAAAATGTGCAAAGAGGTACAATTTCAACAATACCATATTGGTAAAGAACAAATTCCATAGTTGTTTATTCAAGTAATGAATGGAGCTGTTCCATCTTATACGGATTTTCAAATATTGATGATGAATATTCATAAGATTTAAACAGTTAACAGATCAACTTTTTATTTCATATTCATTTTCAGAGAGATAAGTAATAGCCTAGGCAGATCATTGTACAAAAGCAAAAACAATTTCAAATAGTTTCTGCTGCTGTTATAAATGCACACCCTGCAAGGTGGTGTGACAGAGATTCAGAAGGCTGACTTCACCATAAGCAGTGTTTAATTAGCGCTGTACAAGGCAAGGAGTGGCCCTGCGATGGATTGGCGACCTGTCCAGGGTGTACCCTACCTTCGCCCGATTGCCGGCCGGGATTGGCTCCGGCCCTCCCCGTGACCCCATTCAGGGATTAAGCGGTAGAAGATGAATGAATGAATGAAAGGCAAGGAGTGCAATAACGTGATATAACTATAGAGACTAGAATGGGTGTAGATGGTATGGATGTAGACCACAGGAAGGCAGGAAAAAAGTAGTTGCTGGGCCGAGCTGCGGAGTGTGGAGGTCATGCACTGGCTGGTCGAGTAGAGGTGGTTGAGGCTGAAGAGAAGAGAACAAGGCAGAAGGCGACTATGAGGATCAGGGGGGAGAGAGCACCGACCTGGCTGGTAAATGATAGTACGAAGGCAGAATGGAGTAGGTCCGGAGGTAAACAGTTCCATGAGCAAGTATGTGTCCTAGCAGGAGGATTGAAGGCAAGAACGGGTAAAGAGAAGGCTTGTTGGAAACAGAGGCAAACTAAAAATAGTCACAGAGGAAAAAAAAAAGGAGTTTGGCAAATAGAAACAGTTTCTGGATTAATGAGAGTGGTTCTAGTTGTCTGTGCGGGCACGAGAATGAACTGGCAGTGGGCAGGTAGGAAGGCGAGGTAAATATAGGATATCTGGTGATTGCAGGAGTGACAACAGGTGGTGGTAATGAGGATAGCTGGCAGGTGTGTGTGGAGGAGAGAGGGCAGGTGAAACCGAGCAACCCTGACAGCTGCACTATTAGACTATTAACACTTCACAAACTCTGACCCTCGATGTACGGTATGTGGAAGGGCATCCAGGTCATCAGTGACTACAAGCCCAGCAACTCCACCCCAACAACCACAGATGTCTCCTTCCTCAGTGAGCTAAATTACTTTTATACTTGCTTAGACCAGGACAACAAGGAGACAGCTATCAAGTCCAGACCCTCCGCAGACCACCAGCCACTGACACTCACCTTCACTGGCCCTGATGGATTTCCTGACTGCATGCTCAGGGCATGTGCTGGACAGCTTGCTGGTGTCTTTATGGACATTTTTACCTGTCCTCCGCCCAAACAGTTGTGCTGAAATGCTTCAAAACCACCTCCATTGTGCCAGTGCTGAAACATTCCACCCTGACGTGCCTGAATGACAACTGCCCTGTAGCACTTACACCCATTGTCATGAAGTGCTTCAAGCGCCTGGTCCTGGCATGCCTGATGACCTGTCTCCCACCCACACTGGACCCCCACCAATTTGCCTACCACAGGAATAGGAGCATTGAGGATGTAGTCTCCATTGCACTGCACTCTTTGCAGATGACATCATGGTGATCGGCCTCATCAGTGACGACAATGAAACAGCCTACTGGGAGGAGGTACAGCACCTGGCTGTGTGGTGTGCTGACAATAACCTGCTCCTTAACACCGACAAGACCAAGGAGCTCATTGTGGACTACAGGAGGGAGAAAGGAGGCACACACGACCCCATCCATATTAATGGATAGTTGTTGAACGTGTCTCCAGCTTCAAATTCCTGGGGACCCACATCTCAGAGGATCTGTCCTGGACTACCAACACCCACAGCCTGGTTAAGAAGGCTCACCAGTGCCTCTTCTTTCTGAGGACACTGAAGAAGAACCACCTGTCTTCAGCCATCCTAGTGAACTTCTACTGCTGTGCCATCGAGAGCATCCTGACCAGCTATATCACAGTCTGGTATGGAAACTGCTCTGTTTCTGATCGCAAGGCATTGCAGTGGGTAGTGAAAACTGCCCAATGCATCACAGGGACTCCACTTCAAGATTTAAGATTTTTATTTGCCATTTATGCTTTTGTGCTGAGCCCATTCCTCTACTCCCTTTTTACCCTGCAGGCTTGTGCATGGCTCCAACACCATCAAGTTTGCAGGTGACATCATGGTGACTGGCCTCACTGGCAACAATGATAAGTCGGATTCAAGATTTTTATTCGCCATTTATGCATAAACAGACAGTCTAGCCATATAGGAATTTTTGTGCAGGGCTCAATTGGAGTCGAGTAAGGAGTTAAAAGCCAGAAAAAGAACACCTAGTCTAAAAATAGTTACATAAGAATAAAATAGTAGATAAAAAATGTGAATATAAAAATAAAATAATGAACAAGATGGTGAACTATTACACAGGATTTCACATAGTGGAATTGTATATGGTATTTTACTTAGTGTGGTAATGAGGGATTTTTGCACATTTTTCACATTTTTGTATTTGCCATCAGTCTTACTGCGGTGGCAAAAACGCTTTCATAAAGTCTTGTTCTGTGTGTGGTGATGCTGTTTGCTCTGCTGTGCCTGAGATTGTAGGTGCAATTTTTCTGTCTGAGCAGAGTGTGAGCTGGGAGGAGTGAATCTCTGATTATGTTTTCTGCTCTTTTAGAACAGTGCTGTGTGTATATTGTGTCCATAGCAGGCAGTTCAGTCCCAGTTATCCTCTCTGCAGTCTTTATAACTCTTTGAAGAGCCTTCCTCTCTGCCTGTGTGGTGTTACCATACCAGACTGTGATGCCAGTAGTGAGGATTCTCTATCAGTCCTTTATAAGCCTGGGTGAGAGGGCGGCCATTCAGTCCAGCTTTCCTGAGCTGTCTGAAGTATAGCCATTGCTGGGCCTTCTTCACTGTGGCAGCTGTGTTCAGTGACCAGCTCAGGTCAGATGTCACCTGCAGGCCCAGGAACTTGTGGCTGTCAGCCCTCTCCACCTCAGTCCCTTTGATGGTCAGAGGCAGCAGAGGGGAGGGGTTCTTCCAGAAGTCTACTATTATTTCCTTTGTCTTATGTTGAGGATGAGTTCATTATTCTCTCCATAAACAAGAATGTCATTCACCAAGCTTCTGTAACCCAACTTGTCTCCTTCTATTTGATGAGGCCCTGAAAAGTGGTGTCATCAGCATATTTAATGATGATGATGTTGTCATGGTTGTACAGGGTAAAGAGTTTGTGGCTGAGACAGCAGCCCTGTGGTGAGCCCGTGCTGATTGTGAGCTCAGCAGACACCCGCCCTCTCATTCTGACCACCTGTGGTCTTTCAGTCAGGAAGTCCAGAATCCAGTTACAGGTGGGAGTCGAGACACCAAGATCTATCAGCTTCTCAATCAGCCTGCCCAGGCGAATGGTATTAAATGCAGAACTGTAATCCAGGAAGAGTACCCTAGCATATGTTCTGCTGTAGTCCAGGTGTTTCAGGGTATGGAATAAAGCCAGAGCCACCATGTCGTCCACTGATCTATTGGGCTGCAGTGCCACCGAACGCACCACAGGCCTTTGTCTGCCCACATCCCTTAGAAAACATTTCACCCGCAGGTGCTCGAACACAGTTCTTTCACCAAAACATTCATGGCATGAAGAGATGGCGGTGGCATAAGCTTTCACAGTAGACAGAGCCAAATTTCTGTCTGTAGAAAAATTAGCACTTGAGCCAGTGGGCAAGAAGTGGGAGCTGTGCCTCTTTCCATGCACCAGCATTGAAAAGCAGACCATTTCTCTGCCTAAGATGCCTTGTTGATGGGGTTGTGTGTACAACCGCTGGAGACAACCTTAGGCTCTCCAGTTGCTCTCGCTCAGGGACCAAGTCCACAGTCATTGTCCTATCATGGGGAACTGCTGGATCATGCCATCTAGCTGATAGAGCGTGCCCCCATGTCACGGCAGCTGCCAAAGCTCAGCTGAACCAGGGTTGGAAACCAAGCTGCACCTGTGCACTCAGAGCTATCCGCAGGACATGCAACCATTCATCCTGAATGTGTGAGAGGAGTCATGGAATTAGTTGGAGAGGAGGGAATGCGTAAAGAAGACGTCTTGGCCAGAGTTGGTGAGCCAAGGCGTCTACCTCTAGTGGGGGTTTGTCTCTGGCATTTATTGAGAACCAGAGATTGTGCTGCACATTCCCATGTGCTAAAACAGGTCTGCCACAGCTCGACTGAACCTGTCCCACAGCATCTGAACGAGGGACGAATTCAGCTTCCACTCACTGGGCTGAGGTCCGCCTCGTGACATGAGATCTACGGTGCGGTTCTGCTCTTCAGGAATGTGTACGGCTCTGACGGAGAGCAGGTTCTGATGAGCCCAGAGCAGGGGATCTTGTGCAGTCTCCAGCAACTGGACGGAATGAACACCACCTTGCTGGTTGATGTAAGCGACGGCTGATGTGTTGTCTGATCGCACCACTACGTGTTTTCCCCTCAGTAATGGTGCAAAGTGCTTTAGAACAGTGGTCCCCAACCCCCGGGCCGCGGACCGGTACCGGTCCGTGGATCAATTGGTACCGGGCCGCACAATAAATCATTCATTATTTTCGTTTTATTTATTATCTGAGTCTGAACGATCTTTTATTTTGAAAAATGACCGCATTCTCTCGGTTACATCTTGGTCACTTGAGCGCCAAAACTGGCTTACTTGTGGACATATTCAGCCTGCTCAATGAACTCAATCTGTCACTTCAGGGGAAAATGACAACTGTCTTCAAGTTGGCAGATAAAGTAGCTGCATTTAAAGCCAAACTGGATTTGTGGGGACGGCGCGTCAACAGAGGCATTTTGGACATGTTTAAAACATTAGCGGGGATTTTGGGTGAGACTGAGCCAGAGCCTTCATTCTCCCAGCTGGTGCACGATCACATGTCTTTGCTTTTAAAAGAGTTCGAGCGCTACTCCCCAGCCACAAAGGACCCACGAACTGCCAAGGAAGGGATCCGCAACCCATTTGTCAACAAACCAGGTGAATCCAGCAGGTCTGTGCAAGAAGAAGATCAACTGCTGGAGATCGCAAATGACGGCGGCCTTAAAAGTATGTTCGAGACAACAACTCTGTCGGTGTTCTGGATTAAAGTCATGACAGAATACCCTGAGATCGCCACCACAGCACTGAAAACCCTGTTGCCATTTCCGACATCCTATCTGTGTGATCTGTGTGGTTTTTCTGCAGTGACAGCAACCAAAACAAAACAACGGAGTAGACTGAACATAAGCAACACACTTCGGGTGTCATTGTCTCCTGTTACCCCCAGATGGGACCGTCTTGTTGCAGAGAAACAAGCTCAGGGTTCCCATTGATTTAGCGTTATGGGGAGTTAAAGTTTTCAACACAGTGGATTCACGTTTTTTATTATTATTATATTAACAATATAAACAATCTACGTAAATTTTGTTGAACGTGTCGCAATGTTACAGTGACAATAAAATAAAGCTGCTTCTTCTTCTATTTCCCAAGATTTCCCCTTTAATGTTGAGTAGATTTGAGTAAAGATAAAACTAATTCATGAAGCATCTTAGCCTGTAAAAGAGCTCCTAAGGTGGAAAACTGTTAGGAGTAGGGAGTAGGAGGACTTTTAAGAGGCTTAGGAGTTTCCTAAGTAGAAGATAACGGAAAGACAACACTGAATAATACTGAATTAAATGCTACAGATTACACTAATAATGTTTACGGTTGATGTGAATAGAGCTACGCAGACATCTCCCACACAATGCAATAATGCCAGAAACATTAGGATATTTGGCAACTAAAAATGAAAGAGTGCAGCAGTGATGACATTTCTGTTGCAACCTTCCATCAGCAGTGATCATACACACACTGTTACATGGCTTTTATGTCTCAGAATGTGACGCACTACATTTCATATCCAATGTGCCTACACATCATTGTACCATTTTTGAGCAATTTACCCCTGTTAATATCAACTAAATAAAGTGAATATGTCTTAAAATGACCAGCATGGTAAAAACAATTCAGCAATTAAATATAACAACTATCAGTAGAGTAATCCTCCTGCCTCACACTGAGCTCTGCTTCCAACAGAGCTGGCTCATCAAGACACATGATTTGCTGTTGTGCCAAGAAAACATGCTTATATTCACTCAGCAGTCACTTTTTATTTGTAATTTCACTGCAGTCCCCTGACTTGGTGCAGATCTTGTTAAATTAAATACCCTTTTGGCCTGACAATTTTTGTACAGCAAACAATTTAACAGCTTTCTGTGTGAAATGTCATCACATGAATCCATGTATTTTTTAATCGCATATGTTTCATTTGTGCTTTAGGCCAAGGAGAAGGCTCAGTCCCAGACTCAAGACAATGACCTTAAGTGATCTCTCAGCAGCTAACATTCCTGTGGGGGTTATCATGTCAGCAGGGTTCCCATGACAACAGCAACAAAAGAGACAAAGAGAATGAGGAGAGAGGTATGACAACAGGTGATCAAATGGAGACAAAGGGCCATGGAAAAAAGGAGGGATGATTAAATACAGATGAAGGAGAGATCATTCTGCTGTTATTTATGGTAATAATTCTAGTTTTAGATGTTTTTTGTTTGGAGGTTTCCAAGGAAAATATTAAAGTCAGACAGAAAAGATGGCAAGATGTAAAACTTTCCATGGTACCAGCTGACCTCATCATAATTACGATTACTATTAAGGAACTTGATTGGCCTATGGCTTCAGTCTGTTTGAAGCGAGAGTTTTAAACATCTGTATGAAAATGAGCAATATTTTTGAGGGTGATCTTATGTGCAAGAAATGATTCCCTCATGTGTTTACCCCAGATGATGCTTGTCAATCATGTGCAAGAAATGATTCCCTCGTGTTTACCCCAGATGATGCTTGTCAATCATTAAACAAAGAGTTATTACAGTCACAAGAAAAAGTAATGGCACTGTTTGCAGTTTACTGGTTTTCTGTATAAATTGGTCATAAAATTCTATCTGATCTTCACAAAAGTCACAAATATCAAACAATATTTCTAAGCTGATAAAAGACAAACAGTCATGATTTTCATGCCTTTATTGAACACACCCATTAAACATACAATTTGATAGTGGAAAAAATAGTAACAGTGTTACAATAATTGGTTGAACCACCTTTGGTGGCAATAACCTCAAGCAAGTGATTCCTGTTGACTGCAAAACATTCAGGAGGAATTGTGTACCATTTGTCCTCACAGAACAGCTTCAGCTCAGCCATATTCTTAGAATGTCTGGTGTGAACGGCTCTCTTGAGGTCATTCCACTTCATCTCTATTGGGTTGAGGTTTGAGCAAAAGACAGATTTTGTGTCTCCAAAGACAAACAGTCATGGGTTGCACTGAACTGAACGGGATGCAAGGGAGAGCAGACGTTTACTGCTCCTCTTGTCTGTTCTACGATTTTTCACATCTTCTACGTTTTCAAGTCTTTGAACAAATTCTACAACTATTAAAATGCCTCCAAGAGGGAAAAGAGCTAATAAATCAGAAGCGAACGAGGATGTTGAGGCAGAAGAGGATTATATTTCAGCGG